GTTTTGAAGTTTGAGTAGCCAGACATTTTTTGTATTTATTTTGATATATTATTTTATGTTTATGTTTATGTTAGCTAGCTCACCTTCTTCACATCTGCTACGCTCTGGGGCTTCTTTGTGTGCACTGTGTACCCCACTATCCCCATATCGGTCGGGTAGACGATCTCCACGTTGGGGTTGACTAGATTCTTGTCATACGATGAATTGTGGGTAATATCGAACAGGACTGTAGCCAGCTCGGGCACACCGTTCCTGCTCCGAAAGACAAAGTAGCTGCACCTGTCTGCCTGGATGAGCAGCGCAATCCTCTGGAGAACTTTGTGCAGGGTCTTCTCCATCTGGCTGTTGTCCTGCATCTCCTTCACCAGCTCGAATATGAACTCCGATTCCTGGATAGAGGTGACCTCTTTGTACGAGGATGGCTCTTTCACTTGAACTTTGTTATTGAACGCTGCTGTGATCACATCTGGTTTGATTTTCTTCTCGAAATATTCCGTGGCAAATTGCGGATTGTTGTCCAAAAACTTCTCGACGGTATCTTTGTCTCCCATCTTGACTCCGATCTACAAATATCCCAACAGAATATCCAAGGAAAGAGTTTAAACAATAAATTTCCAAGGATGACTACAGTAGCATCCCTCTTTCTCTGCTTACTGAAGTAGAAGAAGCTATCTTGTCCCCAGCAGAAGGTAAAGAGTAGCTTACAGGGGATCCCAGGGGCCTCTAATGACTGTGACGCAAAAGTCATAATGCCACCTGAGCTTTCTTAACCACTAAATCCATGCAGACTTGTCATTTCAGTGCGCTATAATCCATACAAAATAATCCCTTCAGCAGCTATATGATGGTCCGTTATGCCATCTCTGACCTGTGCTGCTGGGACAAAGACCACATGGACTACATTCTCCAAGTTTTTCTTAACAAACATTCAAAGACGCATTCACAATATTCCCTTAAACTGTTAAAGAATTACAAGTATATTGTTGAATTGCAGCTATACTTTTGATATAGTATTTGTGATATAGTTTCTAAGGATAAGGATAATAGCATAAGAATATTACCAGTTCAAGAGGTTCACGTGAGGGTCAGACATGATAAAAGATGCGTTTAGGTGACTTAGGTAGGTGGACTTTGACAGGCTTTCTATGACACTGAGAAATATATAGACACAATGGGAAGGTATTAAGCCAGGGGTGTCCAAATTTTTTTCATCAAGGGCCACATATCTAAACACAGACAAAGCAGAGGGCTGATTGAGAGCCGTAGATTTGCGCTCAGTACAGGGAATAATTGAAATGTGTGCATGTTTAACACATTAGAATGATCCATCAGTTTTTATTCATGCTAAGATCCTTAAAGCCACACGCTAAATATTAAATATGAGCTTTATCAAGGTAGATTTTCCAAAAACTTGCAGTAAAATTTTTTTTTAATTGATGCAAGGAAATTTGGGCCAATTCACCTGGAAGTCTGAGGACCAAGAAAAATTTGTCTGAGGGCTGCATTTGGCCCCCAGGCCATAGTTTGGACATGCCTGTATTAAGCAATAGTATATTTATAATGAGACAATGGGATAATTGATTTCTGTTTTGCCCAAGTTCTGTCATTGCGTCCTTAGGCAAGACACTTCACTCACATTGCCTGGTATGAATGTGGTGTGTGCGTGAATGATTGGTGGTGGTTGGAGGGGCCAATGGTGCAGACAGACAGCCGTGCTTCCATCAGTCTGCCCCAGGGCAGCTGTGGCTACAATAATGGTTTACCACCACTGAGTGTGGAGTGAATGAATGATGACTGCAATGTAGTGCTTTGAGAAGCTTCAACAAGCCTGTACAGACCATTACAAGTATAAGGCATTATTATTATTAAAATAGGGATACACCAGGTATTAAGAAGACAGGATGTCACTTGTCTTTATATGATATGAGATTCTAATAAGCGTCTATTAGAATCTCTCAAATCACATAAAGACAACTGGGGAACTGCGTGTGTACTGTAATGGGTAAAGCAGGATAATCCCAGTAAACCTTTTTCTAATTGAACTCTATATTAAATAAACAAGAGGTGCAGTAAATACAATGCAGAATGAACATTTCAGTGTTAAAAATGACCAACAATTCTGCACTATCTTTATTTTAATGCTTATGTGTGATGATGGTATTCACAAAAAAAGGTAACACTGCTCTATTATGGGGTAGTAATAAAAACAGGGTTGTGGATGTCTAATTTCTTAATGTAGTTTAATTATGCGGAGAAGTGAGAAGTACAGGCAATACCATATTGTTATAGTAATATCAAACAAGTCTACTCATAAAGAACACCACTAAATCATGACTAAAGCAGTTGTAAAAGAGAACACATTTATTTAAGAAAGATAAAAAAATATAATTTACTATGTAAATATAAACACAACAATATCAGAACCAAGTTTCTAAAAGTAAATTGCTGTCTCGTATTTATAAACACAGATTTAGCAAAAGTAGAATTTTTAAAAGCATCCAATTGTGACTATCTTGAACACACATCTGTCCTCTCCACATCATCAACACTGCCAACAAATCAATTCATCTATTTGCAAAAAACTCAACGCTTGGAAAAAATGCTCAAATACAAACTAAATGTAAGTATGTTAGATCTTTTATAGTAGCAACAATTACGTTATCTTTGTCCAACGACCAAAAGCCCACAAGTTTACAGCTTCTCACCACACATGCACACGCACGCACACACACACACACACACACACACACACACACACACAGACACACACACGCAAAACAAACTTACCCCTGCTGGGTAATCCCTCCGTGCCAGTGTAATCGAGCGTAATCACGAGTTATCTGTAGTGATCTAATTAGATACACACCTATTGCTGCAAAACAGATTACTCTGTTTACTGTTAGCTAAGACTTTAACTAATAATGTTTTCCCTCAGGTAGGTGTCTTACATCAGAGTAATTAATTTAATCACTGTACTGGTTTGTTCAATGACCAGATGACAGGATTGTCTGTAAAGGAGGTGATTATGATACAAGTTAATACTGAAATTGGAGTTTTGAAGAAATGTTAATTTAAATTCTAAAGTCTACTATCTATAATAAATAAATGGTCAAAAATGCAACACAAAACAATAACAAAAAATAATCAAATAAAAACAGCATAGAACTAGCAGTAAAATCTTAAATGGTGTTAAGTAAAGGGTGATATTTTGAAGTGTTATAGTCCAATCACTTTTTGTGCAGTATTTGAACCCAACCAAAGCATAAAATAGCACTCTGGAACATTCTGATTAATTGCAATAATTAGTTCACATTTTTGGTATGTGTTTTGATGCACAAAACAAATCTATTCCTCAAAAAAACCTGGTGATGTGGAAGTGGATTTTTATAATACGTGAAGTATTAGGAAGACAAACTACAATTAATTTTTAGTCTTAAGCTTTAGTTTGCCCTTGTGAATACCTGCACGGGGTGAAATCATCAGAAACAAATCAGATTACTCACATCATAATCTGATATCTCCAGAAATCAGATGATCAGATTTTCGAAACAGTAACAAAAAAAATTAAATAAAATCAGCTATATGCAGTACTATATTGTAATACTTTTTTGTGTTAATGTCGCCCTCCAAAGGCCTACCGAGGACCTGCTTTTGCTCTTGGTCTCAGACAGACTAATCTCCTGTAATAACTTTCCCTGAGACATTATATGAAAAGATCCTGAAAGAGCCTAGCATGCTTTAAGCCCAGAGCACAGGTCAATTCTATTTTCTGTTCCCCCTCTCTGTGTTTCCTCTCTCTGTGTATTGTATTGGCCAGCATACTAATCTGTCTTTAAATAGTACAGGAAAAGACTTAACTTACACAACCTGTGAACTATATTTATGTCATGTCATGTCTATTAGGGCAGCAAGTTGTATCAAAATAGAATCAAAATCACAATTGAAGTTGCTGCAATTATCAAATCAGAATTCACATAATAAAATATCCACTGTAAACAATAAAATATGCATTCATTTTTAGTCCTTTCAACATGTTCTAAAATGCATGGGGATATTGTATGCATTAGTTAAATTAAGTGAAATGTGAAATCTGAAGTGAATCCTACATTTTGAACATTAAAGTGGGACTAAACACGTGAACTCCACCCACAACCACATTTTGAATAGAGCTGCTAAACTGGGCAGTACCTGGAGGACTAAAGGGGAGAGTGAGGGGGAAGGAGTGAGGGGTGGGGTCTAGAGGTATAAGGAACACTGTGATTGGTCAAACAGATATCTATACTTCAAACTCCGCCCATGCAGAAAGACCTGGCAGTAGTCAGGGTAGTCATGAGTGATGTCAGCAACTACTTGAAATTGCAGAGGCCACTGAAAGCAACACAAACTTAGACTTAGATCATAAAGCTGCAAATTTAATTATTTAGAACAGGAGATAATGCTATTAAAACACCATATACATCTTTCAGTAGAAAGATGGATTTTTTTGTGCACTTTGACCACAAAACTAATCGCAATCACAGTACCTGTCAGAAAAATCACTATTGATACTTTGCAGTGACCTCATGCTGGGGGGTGTTCCACATGTATCTCTATCGGCAGAAAGACACAATTCACACATTCACAAATACAGACAAATAGATCTGAAATCTCAAGAAATTTGATTTAAACAACACATTTCAGAATCCTGTTTAGGAGTTGGTGAGAGTGACTAAAAACTGTTGGCTAATGCTAGCTGGCTTGTGACTAATTTCATGTGTGAGAGACTTAACAGTTCATCAGGTTAAATCTAACTTTAGTAACAGAGCTTCTAACAAAGTAGTGCTTTAAGTTAGCTTCAAACCCCCAGGGAATGTTGATAACATCAGCTGCAAAGTATCAATAGCATTTTTTTTGTCTAATTCTTTAAAAATGTTACTTGTAAAACAATTCCAAGTTCTTTTTTTTCATTCAAATCAGCATGTTTTAATATAACTCATATGGGAGATGTTCGTAGTCTTAGCTCAGATCTGGCAGTAGTCCAGATGTTTGATGAGCTCGTTGTATAGACTGGCAGGATAGATGGCATGGCACATGGGACACTCCATGACGCTCTCGTCCAGCACACTCTTACGAGGGGAGAGGGAGGGGCGGGTTTTTGGAGGGAGAGGGGGGCGGTCTAAGGGCAGAGCTGAGTTTGGAGCCACAGTGTCAGCCTAAAAAACAACAACAGAATAAACAAATACAGTGCATGAACCCAACCTGTTATGTTGAAACTGTGTCTCATCTCAACTTTCTCTATAGTAAAAAAAATTCAATTGCATGTAAACAAACCCATTATCAATCAATAAATACATTAATGTAAAATCAATAAATAAGAGGTAAACCCCAAAAATCCGTATAATCTTTATGGACATTCTGCACAAACTGTATCTAGCTATTGGATTGGTCTATTGTGGATGCTTCAGTATAGAAGCAAATTAGCTGTAAAACAAATTTATATTATATATTATAGTCTCCAGCCCCAACAACAGAACCTTAAGTTAAATAAAAGTAAAAACATTTTTACCACGTGTTTATACTTGGCCATCTGCTTGAGCCTTGTGATAGTCATTGAGGAAGTACTTATGCAGATGTCCTGACTGAAAGATAATTCAATCTAACCATCACTTTTATACATTCAAACATACAGTACATATCTGGTCTCATAATATGCATACTTGTAGCTCTAGGGTAGCTGACTTGCGTTTCTCCTTGCTCAGCCTCACCTGGAGATCTTCAGCCTCTGTGGTCAGATACTGCTCCTCGTTCCCCCTCCTGATGTCTGCAACGTTCTCTGTCTCCCTGTCTCTCTGCAACTGCTCTTCGAGTTCACACTGCTTTTCTCTGCACCTGCACATCAGAATATTAAAAAATCCTATATTACACAAAATTGACCTTTGTGAGCTTTAAGACTCTTAATATAATGTTTTTACCTCATTACCATCATTTGCTTCATTCACACATTTGAGCAATCCTTTATTGTTAAGCTGTCTACATTGCTAAAGATCAAAATGCTGTATTCCAACTTGTGAAGTCATGAAGCTGTACTTTTCAACTTAACAGCTAACTTTTACCTTTGGATTAGAAGAGATTCAAAATTCCAGGGCTGAAATGATCCAAATGATTCTAGTGAAGTATCGAGTTTAGAAACACAGTGGAGCGTGGAGGTGGAACAGAGTGTTTTCAGTTTGAGAGAAGAACTTAGCCTAAATATGCAGGGTTTGTGTGTTAAACGTGTGAATGAAACAGAACAACTCCAGGTATGTTTGGAAACAACATTATAATATAGATCAGAAAATGTTGTAATATGGGCCCTTGATCAAAAAGAGGAAATCATTTTTATACATTTTTATGTTTAGTACCATTATTATTTCAATTAATTTTGTGCTTGGGAACATGATGACAATTCTATTGATTTCACAGTCCAAGATGGAATGACCTTAAACAGCGCTTACTCTCTCTTGGCCTCGGTCAGGGCATTCTGGAGGAGACACACGTGTTCTCTGAGTACGGCTTTCTCCTGACTGGCATTGTGCATAAGGCCTTCGTAATACTGCTCCATCTTTTTGAGTTTCTTGTTTTCTGTAAAGGAAGAATCAGAAGAGGGGGATTAAATCAACTCATTTTCACCCTTGTCCTGGTTTGGTCCTGATTTAGTATTGGTATAATTAAGATCTAGTCAATTTTGATTTATTCCCAATTTAGATATATGATGTGTAGAGAAACTGTAAAGGAAAGACAATATTTAAAGGGCCCATATTACACTACTTTCTGATCTACAGTATATTATAATGTTGTTTCCTTATTAAAAACATACCTGAAGTTGTTTTATTTCATTCACACATGTTAAACACACAAACCCTGTATATTTAGGCTGAATTCTTCTCTCAAATATAAAGCACTGTGTTCCACTTTGTGACGTCATGTGCTAATACAGGAAACGCTCTATTGTTTTTAAACTCCATACCTCTTCACTAGAATACTAGCTGTTAACATAAAAACTACAGCTTCATGACATCACAAGGTGGAACAGAGCATTTTGAGCTTTAGAAATGTAGACAGAGTTGCTCAATGTATGAATGAAACAAAACACAACTCCAGGTATGTTTCTGAGGAGGTAAAAACATTATAACATGGCTTAAAGCTCAGAAGAGTCAATTTTGCGTAATATAGGACCTTTAAGAATATTGCATACATTTTTTCATATCATCTGGAGACCCCATGAAATAATTTTGTGACCCCCAGGAGGACCCAATCCCCTGGTTTAGAACCACTGCTCTAACATGTAACTTTTCTAACTTTCGTTGTGATTGTCTCCTTGGAGTTATCGTTCTGCCTGGAATGTTTCACAGTACCGCATTGTTTATTTATTTACATATTCAGAGACAAGCAGAAAGTTACAGGTCAGATCTGTGGATACTTAAGCACTCACCATAAGAAAAACCCCTTTCAGTGTATTTTTGAACACCTGTAACTGAATAAATGCACGACAGATACATTTAATGCTTTGCTGTAAAACATTTTAGCTGGGCAATAACATCTCCATGGAGACAAGCAGATGACAAACCCTAACCCCCCACCAGAAAAGTTACACAGAGCACCTTTAACAGAATCTCACCATGTGATAGAAACTCTTTACGCTCAGTGACCCGGGCCTCAGAGACTTCCTGCAGATGTTTCTCCAGGAATGACATTCTGGTTATTATGGACTTCACATAGTGCTCCCTCTGCTGGTCATACTCTACCCACTGCTTATTCTTCTCAAGGACCTGGAAGGGGTTTGGGAAAGATAGTGGGAGTTTATGTAGACATTTTACAAAAAAAAAAGTGTATTCAATGAAATTAAATAAATAAATAAATACATTAAAATAATCTTAAATACTTACATAATTGAGGCTGAGTTGGAGCTCATTTATCGTGGCATTTTCACCCTGTACATCAATGGCAGTTTCCTGTACAATATACAACAGGTGGCTTTGATATAAATATACTGGCACCATAGCTCATAGCAGAATTGAATTGTGGTTATTGTCATGCAATTATAATGTTGGTTGCTTATATGAAATCCATCTCTACAGCCGCTTACTGCTGCTCTCTAGTGGTGAAGAAGTAAAACAGAATAGAGTGGTGGTGGCGTCTTGTAAAGAGCAAATTATGATATGTTCTGCTGGCAAGACACATTTAAAATATGTAAAAGTATTAAGAGGGTGTAAGTAAAGCTACAGTACAGAGTTAAAGTCTTTACTGTCTGATTGCTTATAATATGAACAGTAAGGCACTGATAAAACACTAGAAAATAAAGTAAGTAAAATATTGCAAACAATTTTAACATTTGTTTTTTCCCCCAAAACAACACTACTACTACTACTATTACTACTTATTACTACTTGTTACTACCTGGTATTACAACCTGCTCCTGTTCCTGTTATAAAGTTACCACCGCCTCCCGCCTTACAACATGTAAGTAAGAGAATGATAAAACACTATAAAATGCAGTGAGTAAAATATTAAACTATAAATAAAAAGTAAGTATTGCATGTGAAAAATAAAAAATAAAATAAATTGTTTGAAATCTGGACATTTCTTTCACAAAACAAATACTACTACTACTACTACTACTACTACTACTACTACTACTACTAAAATACAGTGAGTAAAAAGTAAGCTATAAGTAAAAATTGTATGTGAAAGAACAAAATAAAATACAAAGTATTTATTTAAAAAGAAATATATATATTATTATGACTACTACTACTACTACTACTACTACTACTACTACTACTACTTTACCTGTTTCTTTGCAGTGTTGTTCTCCAGATACTGACATCTGGCTGAGATGTTTACAAGCTGGTCCTTTATCTCCTCTATTTCATTGGCGTAACAGGTCACTCTTGTCATGTTCACCTGATTGCGCTGGTGTTCTTCATGGCCCCTCTGCTCCTCTGGCACCAATGCTGACACACATTTTGAACCCTCTTCTTCAAACTCTTGGGATGATGGGCGGTAGTGTACTAGGGCAAGAAATTTCTGCACAGACATAATAATAAATATGCAATAGAGGCTCTGGGATGGTAATGGCCCCGGTAATTGCATATTCTAGGCAATTCTAGGCTCAAACTGTTGTAAAGGGTGTGAGACTTGAGAACTTTAGTAAAATTTTACTTTGTCGTTTTCAGACACCATGCTTAATGTTACTCCAACTGTGGTTAACTTAAGTGATATATTTGACAGTGACATTTTTAATACGCCATGGCTACTGACAAAACAAACAAAACAAAATGTCTCTTGAATGGTAAAAAAAAAAAAATCTTTAAAATGTTGCCTATAGGAAGTCATCTGAAACCCATATAAAATGCAACTTGATTAAACTCCAGTTAAAACCTCCAGTTTACCTTTTTAACTCACCTCTATGATCCTGTTGTGGTCATTGTGATGCCGAGCCAACTCATTTAAAGTCTTCAACAAAAACGCATTTTCTTTCTTCAGATTGCCGATTATAATACGAGCCCGGGGAACTGCCATTGCTTTGCAGAGGTTTTTGTGGTTAGTAGACGATCGCGGCATCTTCACAGTAAAGTAAGTTGCTGTAAGGCTGGATGCGAAAAAATAAAGTTGTTACATTTCAAAAAAAACATTCCAAGAGACCTGAAATATATTGCGTAACGTTAATTCAATGATCGTTCACAAAATGGTCAAATAAAGTAAATTTATGCTATTATAAAAGCAACAATCTTTCTTACATGATAGTCTACTGTATAGTAATAAAAATAAAGAAAATAATATAAATTGTTATATCAGTACTTTTGATTTTTGTTTTTCAGCAATTTATTCGAGAGCTAGCTGTGGCTAACGAGAAAAAACATGTTATTACTGTGGAGAAACGTTAGCATAATTAGCTGATTTACCATACATTTAACAAATTTAGCATGGTTCAGTTTTGTTTTGCGGATTAGTTACCTAAAATGTTTAATAGCAAATTTCGTGTCGTTCTAATAAATCTAAAGGAGGTAACGTAATATAAAGATCATATTACATTTGGTTTACCATTGAAATGAAGGTCCAAGTTAACTGATTGTGGCTAAGTCTACCTTATTAGACAGTCTATGCTTGGACCGCAGTTATATTTAAAATTATTGAACGTGAAATTATTTAGGTAAGGTTTCCAAAAATATTTCATTTATATCAGAAGAGTGTATTTAGAATTTAATTAGGTACACGAAATAATAATTTAAATAGACGGGTAAAATGCAAAGACAATATAAATTTTCACCACCAGATGTCGCTGTTTTATAAGCTACGTCAGTGAGGATAACGGGAGAAAGGCATTGTTACTAAAGGTTTCTAGACTTTTTAAATAATGAATTTTAATTTCAATTTTGGAAATATGTAAATGCTGGTGTTTATTCATTAATGCTTTTTTTAAATTTATTTTTTGCAGACAATGCCGAGCTCCCAGTCCCATCAGCAAGACCTACTATACCACTCACTAACTGGGCTGTGCTGTTGTTCCTCCTCACATCAGCTCTCCTCCTCCTCCTCCTCCTCTACAGTTCCCCCTAGCCGTATGTTTGTGTGGCTGTCTGACTGGCTGCATTCTCTCCGTGGAATATGCTTCATCAGTGAAAAAGAAAACCAAACTTTTACAAAATGCTACGGGTCACTGTGGAGTCTGCCACTGGAATACCCAAAAGGAAACTTGGAATTCCTGATCCGATTGTTGGAATTTTATTTAGGGGTATGACATTTTTGTTCTTTCTGTTTCTTTCAGTTCATTTGTAATTCTTCCTGTGTTTTTTTCTTTCTTTTTAAACATTTCTAATTCTTCTATTTAATTTCCTGTGACCTAACTGATTAACAATCTCTATAAACTTTACTGAGAGCATATTTTGTGAGTCATTCATTTGACAGCATGTCCTTAAAAGGTCAGGAATCAGCTTTACAGTGTTTCTAGCCAGCGCTATTGTAACAGCTGCCTTAAGTTTAGTTAAGATAAGCACCATTCATTCTAAGAAACTAAAAGTTACCTTTAGGCTGTGCTTTGCTGCAACAGTTGTTTTTGTGGTTCCAGGTGAAAAGAAGAAAACCAAAGCTATTGACAACGAGCTGAATCCTGTTTGGAATGAGGTATAAAGTGCAAATATAGTATATTGTTTTTATTGTTAAAGGTCTTATTTTATGCAGAATTGAGCCATGTTAGAATGTTATTACCTCATCAAAATCATACCTGGAGGTGGTGTTTCTTTTGTTTCATCCACAAATGTTTAAGTAACCCTTTATTATTATTCCGTCTACATCTCCCAAGTTCAAAATGTTCCATTCCACCTTGTGATGCCATGAAGTGGTTGTTTTCATGTTAGCAGCTACCTTTTACCTTTTGTTTAGTTGAGATTGGCAATTGAATGAACTGAAATTATCCAAATGATTCTAGTGAAGGTGTATGGAGTGAAGTATCCCATATTTGTGTGTTAAACATGTATGAATGGGACAAAACACAACTCTAGGTATGTTCTGATGAGGACTTATACTTTCTATTTTTTGTGAACAGGTACTGGAGTTTGACCTTAAAAACTGCCCTCTGGATGCATCTTCATTTTTTGATGTCATTGTGAAAGACTTCGAAACAATTGGAAAGGACAAGTAAGTACTGAAAATGTATGTAGTATAAGCTCAGGCTGCAGTAGGGATGTGGTAACTGCTAAGGTAAGTGAAACCACCATTACCCAAATTATATGCTACAGGAAGCACATTGTGTTAACCTGCAGTATTATTAGTTTGTGGGGCAAGCTGTTTAAGTTCACTAGAAATGAACTTGCAGAAAATTATGTAGTAAGGCACATTTTCAAAATTGTTGTCAAGAGTAGAGCTAGAACTAGTAATAGTAGTAGCACTCTTGTGAGCTTTAAGTCATGTTATAATGCTGTTACCACCTCAAAAACATACCTGGAGTTTCAGTAAAACTTTATTACTCGTCTATCTACCTCTCCAAACCTCAAATGCTATGTTCCACCGTTTATCTTTAGTTCAGTAGAGATGGGCAATTCCAGGGCTGAAATCATCAATCAAATATTTCTAGTGAAGGTGTATGGAGTTTCAAAATACAGTGGAGCACTTCCTGTATGACCACATGACATCACAAGGTGGAACAAAACGTTCTGTTTGAGAGAAGCCTAAATATGCAGAGTTTGTGTGTTAATACATATTTTTTCCAAGGTTGAGATACTGCTACTTTCTACATTGCTCAATGGTACCTTGTTCAAACTTGCGCTAACACGCTACACTAATCTTACACACAAAAGAGCTCCAGACTGTTTACACTATGAAAGAATGTCCCATATAATGTTGTAATCTACTTCAGCTAGATTTAATTTCTTATCTTTGGCGTTATGTCTCATATTTACAGCATTTCCTCTTTATATACAGTTATAATTATTTTAAAGAAGGCTCTAGGGAATGTATGGTAAATAGTGGAAGGTGTTTCAATCATGCATCATCTGTTCTATTTCACGTTGTTGCCTGTAAAAGAGGACTGTGCTACAAAGCTTGCGCAGGCTTGTCATCACTATCAGTCAGCACTTTATGAGAAACAACAGTGTTTTCATCTACACAATGGACATTAAGAGAGTTCACATGGGCGCAGAATGCAGTTGGAAATGTCAAAAACCTACTCACACAACACACAAACACTTAATTTTTAGGCTGAGATCTCCTCTCAGATAGAAAACACTCTATTCCACCTTGTGATGTCATGTGATAATACAGGAAGTGCTCCACTGTATTTTTAAACTCCATACATCTTCACTAGACTCATTTGGATGATTTCAGCCAAATCAGTAAAGATTTTACTGAAGTAAAGGTATTTGTTAACTTGAAAAAAATTGGAGATGTAAACAGACTAATAAACCAGGATTACTCAGACATGTGTGAATGAAACTAAACATAACTTCAGGTATGTTTTTGATGAGGTAATAACATTCTGACATGACTAAAAGTCCACAAGGGTCAATTTTGCATAATATAGGACCTCTAATTTTTTTCTTTTTTTGTGCTACATGCTAACTTTGTTTTGTTTTTTTATTAAAATATTGAAAGCAAAGAGGGTGGAAGTTTTTATTTTTTTTAAGAGCAGGCAATATATTTTAAGAGCAGTTGTTAGATATTCATAGGTTTCAGCTTCCTGTTATCTGCAGCATTTTTAGGACTTGTTCCAAAATATATAACAATTAGTTTTAAATGCTTAATTGGTATGGCCGCAGTCCTAATTTTCCCTCATTCTGAAACCCATACATTCCGAGGGTTCCCTCACATGACCTTTTCCTTTTTAAACAACTTTTTGACCTTTCGCCAATTCAAAAATATGCACTTTTGATTTGAGTGATTAAAGGGCCTATATTATGCAAAATTGACTCTTGTGAGCTTTAAGTCATGTTACAATGTTGTTACCTCCTCAAAACATACATGGACTTGTATTTTGTTTCATTCACACATGTTCGAGTAATTCTTTATTGTTAGTCTGTCTACATCTCCAAAGCTCAAAATCCTCAGTTACACCTTGTGTTGTCAAGTTTACAGCTACCTTTTACCTTCTGTTTAGTAGAGATCGGCAATTCCAGGGCTGAAATCATCCAAATGATATGGAATTTGAAAATACTGTGGAGCACTTCATGTATTACCACATGACATCGCAAGGTGTTTTCAGTTTGAGAGAGAAGTAAATATGTTACGGTTTGTGAGTTAAATTCATGAATTAAACAAAACACAATTACAGGTATGTTTGAGATGAGGAAACAACATTAAAACATAGACCAGAAAACAGGAACTGTTTGTAGCCTGTGCTCTGACTGTTTTAAAAAAGGTCCCACGATTACAAATGAACAGACCCTAGGGAACAAAGACAAGTTTTTCTCAGCATATGGACAGGAAATTCCTCATGTGAAAGCTCACAAGCTCCAGAATTCACTCACTGGGCTGCAGAGGCTGCACTAGCACTGGTTCATGATTGGCTGCAGGTACTGGGGTTTAGGTAGTGAGGACTCATTTCTTTCTTTTAGGTTTGAATTAACTGGATTTCAGTGCTGTGTCTGGCAACCCAAATAATAGACTCGTGTGAGGTTCAGATTTACAGTTGTTATCAGTAAAACTTAGCTTGGCCATGTTTACCTCTTATCTGGGGACACATGTAGGTCGAGTGTATAAATCTAAAACCAAGATCTTACATACAAGTCCTTTAACTGCTTTGGCAAGAGTCACAATATTTCATCACTCTGAATTTTTGAAATTTCCTGTCATATTTTAGAATGTAACAAACAAAACAATTAATTTCTTTGAGTCGTAACTTAGCAAGTATACAGAATTCTTGACTCCACAAAAACATACCCGGAGTGTTTTGTTTCATTCACACATATATTGAGTAATGTCAAAATGCTGTATTCCACCTTGTGATGTCACGAAGTGGTAGTTTTTCAAGTTAACAGCATTTTATTCAAGGGCTGCAATTATCAAAATGATTCTTGTGAGAATTTATGGAGTTTAAAAACACAGTGGAGATCTTTCATTATTACCACATGACATCACAAGGTGGAATCGAGTGTTTTCTGCTTGAGAGGAAAGAACACAGCCTAAATATTCAGGGTTTGTGTGTTAAACTTGTGTGAATAAAACAAAACAAAACTCTGGGTATGTCTGTGATGAGGAAACACTATTATAACATAGACCAAAAAATAAGGTAATAGGGGTCCTTTAAACTTGGTATTTTAAAGTAATACTATTTACTCAGAAAATATTTCTTTTTCTTCTTACAGTTTCCTTCCTCATTTTCTCCAAGTGAGAAGGTTCATGCTGCCTTTTGCCATCTATTTACATTCCAGGGCTTAAAATAGACTCCTGTTTGAGGCACTCAGTATGATGGTGCAGTCTAGTTAAAGTAACTGTAGGCCAGATTGCCTTTAAGTAACTCAAATGAAAAGAGCTTTGTGGTTTCATCATTCTGTTTATACTGGGCACAGAACGCCCTGTGCATAGCTTTGGCAAAATCGTT